GCAACTATTGACCACTGCGATCAGAAACCATGGCACGGAAATGGCAAGAAAGGGCGGGAATCCCCCAAAACGTGCTGGCACTAGTACCTGCTGCTCCTAGGGTTCTCATACGCTTCCTGTCTGAAGAACAGAAGCCACACAGTGCTCATTATTGCATAAGGAATTTTGATGGCTTCACAAAGAGGGACAGGTGGAGCTAGAACAATAGTTCAAGCAGTCTGCTGCTACCAGTCTTGTCCAGACCAGGACAGGGCTCTTTATTGAACAATAAGGGGAAGGAACGGGGAACTGAAAAGTTTTTCTAAATCGATACCCAGAGACGAACAGATAACAAACACAAGTTTAGCCTATCATCGGCCTCTCGGATTCAAACGTAACTTTCTGGGGTGCCAGGTCTTCTTGCGGTACATCCTTTGTTCAGAGAGGCTCAGATCTCTGCCAAGTCTTCAAAATGGCCCACTTAAATTCGCGGACGCATGCGTGGTGTCAGACAAAACGTTCACAATCGTCATCGGACATGCATTGTCGCAGCGCGTGCAAGAGTCGGGAAAGGCACCTCGGCATGCTTAGGAAATGGCTTCCCGAATGGTCAGCCCTGCACCCTAGACAAAATCATGGCCCCAAAACCCAACCCTAAACCCCTAAACCCTGGACCCTAAACATTGAACCTAACCAGAAGAAGCATAGGTCCCAGATCCCCCAGTTGAAGCCCGCGATAGGGTTAGGTTTTAGGAATTAGGGTTTAGGAATTCTTGTTTAGGCTGTCCCGCCGAGGTCCAAACCAGCCGGGTCCAAACTCGAAAATTTTGGGTGACACAGGGTCTTACGCCCCACAACGGAGACCCCCACACCCAAAAGTCCTAAACCTTTCGATTCACGGGGGTGTACGGCTGATAAGGTTTTTAAGGGATCATATGGGCTCTATGTCCGGGCGCCATAAGGGGAGGTTCATGGCTAGTTACAAGTGGGGTGATTATACGTCGCCGAGCATAGGTCATAGCTCGAGCTCTCCTATAAGCTTTCTCACAACTTATAACTTCCAATGAACCACCCCCCTTTATGGAGTCCGGATATAGAGCCCACATAGATCCTTTCATTAAAAAGGCTTATAAGCCCTACACAGCCCCATGAATCGTAGGGTGTGGGACTTTAGCCTTAACCAGGCAAGCCGAACTCACATGGCCCAAGCCTTGTACTCCCGACATCCGGCGAGAAACCCCAAAACCCTAGATCATGGACCTTCTAGAGGCCGTTTTCGAAAAAGTGCCGAAACTTGATACAACAAACACAAAAACACGAATGGAAGTTCGGGACAAGTATGAAGAACAACTTAAATAGCACCTGAAGTTTGTCCTCGACTGTCCCACGCACCCTACAGCTGGCTTTCGACTTCGGAAATGCCAGAACCCGCTCGGGTTCCAGTAAGGCTAGCGTCAGGTCCAGGGTTCTGGGGGCTTTGGAGCTTGAGGGTCTAGGGTTTAGGGTTTAGGGTTGAGGGTCTAGGGTTGTAGGATGTCTTAATTCGTCTTGAAGGGATTCATATTTACAGCGTTTCTGGAAGGGTTGAATATCGACAATTAGCGTTTGCTAAAGGGCTTCGGGGGTTCGGGGTCTGGAAGTTTAGGCCTCTGAGATCGTAGCTTTCTGGGTTTAGGGCTGTTTACGGTTGTTTAGGGTTTGGGGTTCATGGCTCATACTTGCAAGGGCCTTCGTCTCCGAGAGTCATTAGCTTTGGTAGGGTTTTGGGCTCTATGCGAAGTTTAAGAAGGCCTGCTTGAGCATTCTCGGTGCTTTGCATGATAAGAAGTCCGAGGTATGGAGGTTGCTGAAGGTGCATAGAGCACCTGGCAAGGGCACAGCTCCTGACAACCTTGTTGAGCGGCAGCTGGCCTGTGACCATGCTGCCCAAGCTGGCCTGTCAAAGGAGGTTTTTTCAGATTCAGTGAGGCCCAGACTCATGGAAAACCATGACTTGAAGCTCTACCTGCCGCACATCTTGCTCCGTGTGATGCCATTCTCCCAGAGCAACCAACATGGACTTCGTGCCCTTGGTTGCATCCTTCAGGTGGGCATGCCATTGGTAAAGCCCGAACTCCAAGCCGCGCATGAGATGGCGGATCCTTCTCATCGCGGCTTCCCAAGTGTTGTGATTCAGGGTGTAGAGGGTGGGGAATACGCAATAACAATCTCAAGCCCTGCATCGAACCTCAAAAAAACAGCCACTCCCTCCACAAAACCTGAAGCCTCAACCCACAGTCGAAGACGCTCTCAAACCCTAAACCCGAAACTCTGAACCCTACACCTTAGAAGGGGCCCCCACCTTGGAATAGTGGTATAATAGGAATATAATGGGGCCCCAATATAATCCTTATAGTCACTATCACAGGGTGGGGGCAGCTTCTAACCTACACCCATCCGGAACTCCCTGAAGCATCAATCCGAAGACGCCGACACCATAACCCAGCCCTTTAAAATCCTAAAACCCTTCACCCTTGAACCCTAATATACGGGCTAAGTAATTACCACTACCATTTTCGGGGGGGTCCCTGACTATCATTATAGTATAACGAGCTGTTGAGCCCTAAACCCCGAAACCCGAAATTTAAAACGTCTTGTTTCACGATTCTGAACCCTTGAACCCTAACGACCTAAGCCGAAGTCCTCCACCCGAAACTGCATCTGGGGAGCATGCTACAGTCCGATGGCCAGCTGACCATCAGGGCACTGGCCTTAGGGTTGAGGGTTTACGATTTAGGGGTTTAGGGTTTAGGATTTAGGGGATTAGGGTTTCGGGTTTAGAATTTAGGGGTTGAAGGCTTAGGGCTGAGGGTTTAAGGTCTAGGGTTTAGGGCCACTTCGCATCTGTTTGTCTCGGGTTTGGAAACTTGAGGTTTTCTTACTGGTCGAGGGATATGGCACGGTGAATCGATGGCTTTTAATTTCGGGCTTAGGGTTTCGGAGGAATACCCACAGACTATGTCTCATATCATAGTAAGGGCCCTCCTGCAAATTGCAAGTAGATTGCTCAGTTGATTGAGGGATTTCGGAGCTTCCGGGCACCCTAGAACTATGGTAACTATAGTCGAGTACAACGACGGTGAATGGTCCACGAGCACTGAGACTGGGCTTTAGGGCTTAGGGTCCTCCAGGATCACCTGACGGCTGTAGTAAATCCTGTCCATCCCAAGGCGAGAACTAAAGACGCCACATGATCAGGGGTTTAGGGGACGTCATCTCCCTCCTGATGTTTTAGGGTTTAGGGTCTACAGGGGTTTAGGGTTTAGGGTTTAAGGGCTAGGGGTTTAATTTAGGGTTTAGGGTCTGGCCCGAACCCTGCAACCTGAAAACACTCAGAGCCTCAAACCAAGGAAGGCCCTCAGCACCCTGGCCATACCTTCGGGTCTTTGCCCCTGAAAACCCTGAGCTCGAGAGCCTTGACCCTTAAACCATGAACCATACGGTTGATGATACAAATCCTGCATTCCCCCCATAATATAGAATATGTCATCGTTCCCATAGTTTAGGGTCCTTGAGGTAATGCGGATTTAGATCATCAACCGGTTGACGCCATAAATCCTGCATTACCCATAATGTGCCGGTCGGCTTAGGAATATGGGCTCCTTTAATGCGTCGGCTCGGGGGCTAATTCCGACCGGTACCAAGGTCTAATTAATGCTTTTTTTTTGGCTGGGGGGATTTTTTGGTGGCGGGGCTGTGCTATTTGCTGATGGTCAATCTTAAGGCAGCCACGATCTAAACCCCCACCCAAACCCCCACCCAACCCTAAAACCCTGGCCCTGAAGCCCCAAAATCTCTTGCAGAATTGTTTCGCTTATTGGGGCGTCAGGAATGGGAGTCTGTACTACTACTGTACTACTATTGTACTATTGTACTGCTACTGTATGCCTTGCTTATTGGGGGGGGGCTGCTAGGGTGAACCGCCGAATCGGGGATTGGACCCTAGCTCAAAAGAGGCCTCTCCAGTACTAAAGTTTGTATAAAAAATTCAGTTTTGGGTCCAATCTGGACCGACCCCCCTTTGGAAGGGTTTAGGGCTTAGGGTTTAGGGTTTGTTATAGGGTTTAGGAGTTTAGGATTCGTTAGGGTTTAGGGTTGTTAAGGTTTAGGGTTTCAGGCGCTGGCTTTATGCTTTGCTTATTGGGGGAATGTGCTCACTGGCTTTATGCTTTGCTTATTGGTACTATTTCTGTACTATTACTGTACTACTACTGTACTACTGTACTACTGTGGTACTACTACTGTACTACTAGTGTACTACTGTACTACTATTGTACTACTACTGTACTACTACTGTACTACTATTGTACTTCTACTGTACTATTATCGTACTACTACTGTACTACTATTGTACTACCGCTGTACTACTGTTGTATTACTATTGTACTACTGCACTATTATTGTACTACTACTGTACTATTCTAGTATACCTTGATTATTGGGGGGGGGATTGGACCCTAGCTCAAAAGAGGCCTCTCCAGTACTAAAGTTTGCATAAAAAATTCAGTTTTGGGTCGAATCTGGACCGACCCCCCTTTGGAAGGGTTTAGGGCTTAGGGTTTAGGGTTGTTATAGGGTTTAGGAGTTTAGGATTCGTTAGGGTTTAGGGTTCAGGGTTTAGGGTTTCAGGCGCTGGCCCAGACCCCCCCGACCCCCGACGGCGCAGTCGCGCAGAACCGCAGACCCTGCACCCAAGCCCCCAAACCCCGGCACCTCCCAATTCCCTGCCACTCAGACCCCTGACCCCTGTCCGGGGCTACCGGTTCCGCACTAAACCGACCGCAACTTTTTGGTCGGGGGGGGGGGGGGGGGGGGGGGGTACCCTAGTACTAAACCGACCGCCACATTAATAAGGAATATACCATAACTCCGATAGTTGAGGGTCCTGGAGGCAATGCAGGATTTACATCATCAACAGTAAGTAGGGCATTCTGTGTTTACGGCCCGGGCCTTTGCGCATGGCCAGGCGACCCCACGACGCTCTACGCTGGCCCAGGCTGGTAGGAGCCTCTGGATTCAGAGTTTAAGGTCACGGCTTGACATTTAAGGTTTGGGGTCAGGATAGGTCGTACACGTTGCACAAGGAGGTTAGGAAAAGTACCCCAATCTCACAAAACTTGCCTCGTCAAAATCTCGGTCTGCAAGGGTCAAGCTAAGGTCAAGCTAAGGCAAAGGATTGACACAAAGCCTAAAACCCTAAACCCTAGATGGAGCTTCATGGATAGCTGTATGCAAGGTTATCAGTAGGATAGCTACTAGTTATATCCTATTTCGGTACCTTATAACCCGGACCCTTAGCGGAACCCATACAGAACCCCTTAAAGGGACCCGTAATGAGCCCTTATAGAACCCTTTAAAGACATCCCCTAAGGGTCCAAGTAGTCCTCATTTATGGTTTCTGATACCTAAAAAGGCCCTAAAGTCCTATAATAAGGAGTACTTGGACCCTTAGGGATCCTTAACGGAACCCTTTACGCAAAGGGACCTTAAACTTAAACCCAAGCAGACTTCCAGGCTCAAGTTCGCTCTTGAGGATCATTCGAGGTTGTCTCGGTGTAGGGCTTTTAGGGTTTAGTTTAGAAGGGGCCCCCACCCTGTAATAGTGGTAGAATAGGAATATGATAGGAATATAATAGGGCCCTAATATAATCCTTATAGTCACTATTACAGGGTGGGGGCAGCTTCTAAAGCTTTCCTAGTTGTTTAGGGTTTAGGCTCTCAGAGTTCCGGGCTTTAGGGATTTAGGGTTTAGGGCTGAAGGTGTTGTTCTTTCCGGTCTTGGGCTTAGGGTTGAGGTCTAGGGAGTCTAGGGATTGTTAAGCATTTGGGGATTCTGTGTTGAGACTTTAGAAATCGGTGCTGAGGGTTAAGGGTGTATGCTGTAGGGCCACAATTTAAAGATTAAAGTCAAGGCCTCGCCGGGTCTTGCGTTTAACACAAAGAGACGTCTGGCTGGTCCAAGCAACGGCCAGGCAAATTCATTAATCACAGGCTGCAGCCACGAAAAACAAACGATGGGCCTGTCAAAACTATGAAGTCCCTCCGCATGTAAGCTACTCTGAAAGTATGTGCTGGAACGATGAAGAAGACGAATGCTCATCACTGCAATAGTACATATACACCTGCTGAAGCTCCGCTGCTTGTGATGCTCCTGTGCTTGTGCTACTCCTCCGCATCCTCCTGAAAACATGTCGGGAAATTCTAAAACCTTGAACCCTAGACCGTAAGCCCAAAACCCTCTAAACCCTAAACCCTAAAGCCCTGAACCCTAGACCGTAAGCCCAAAACCAAAACCCTAAACCCTAACAACCCCGCCTACTTCGGAGCCGTACTTGTCGGCGTTGTCCCTGTGCCGAAGTTCGGATTTGGGTGGTCATATATAGATATATATATATATGTATATATTTATTTATTCATATATATGTATATATAGTTATGCATATGCATATGCATATACATATGCATGTGTGTATATATATATATATATATATATATGTATGTACATGTGCATGTACATATATATATATATATATACGTGTGTGTGTGTGTGTCTCTCTGTGTGTGTGTGCGCATGTATGCATGTATGTATGTATGTATGGATGGATGAAGCTATGCATGTATGTGTGTATGAATGTATGCATATATACACATAAGCATATATCAGCGTTGTTCAATCTTCTTCCTTTTGGAAATCAACGTCCGCCGATGTGTTGTTCTCATGTTGTGGTACTTTCGCCCGTACTTTCGCACGACATGTTTGTAGCAGTAGTAGTCGTCGTCGAGGTTTGTAGGCCGTGTAGGGTTCTATGATACGGCATGGAAAACTATAGGATTCGGGGGGAGATTAATCAATTATCTAAAGTTGCTCCTTCTGCAGCCATTCAGTGGAATCTGTTAGGTTTGGGGGTCTCCAGTCCCATGGGTGTTGAGGGTTCGCGAGTTGATAGCTTGGGAGTTTGGTGGCTTAAAGTTAAGGGGTTAGAGAAGTTGAAAGATTTTGGGTTGAGGAAATTCCCTGGACTGTGGTCCTGTCGGAGGTCCTGTCTTTGGGCTACTGTTTTGGGGACCCCAACGCGGAGTTGGGTTGTCGTGGTAAAGGGTTGTAGGGCTTAGGGTTATGGGGTACAAGGCTCTAATGGCTCTAGGGCTGGAGGGCGACGGATTTAGAGAGACAAACCACCTAAACCTTAGACCCTAAGATTCTTGGTCGTCTGCTTGGTTGGGACTGTCAGGTGTTGGGCTTCAGGCTTGCTCAGAGGAGTGAAGGGCTATAAGAGGGTTTAGGCAGATCCACTTGGGCAGACTCCGGTACGAATGCGTGAGACCGCCACAGACTATAAGTAGGTTTAGGGTTTACGGCTTCAGTGCTTCAGTAGTCTTTGAGAAAAGCCACAACGATTTAGGAACGTGATATATGGGGTTATAGGCACCATAATGGCTGTGGCTACAAGCAAGCACAAAAATAACTTCCTTAATTGTCACCTCGCATCCCCAGTCTCCTGATTCTTTACCTGAACCCTAAACCCTAAACCCTTAACCCTAAACCCTAAACCCTTAACCCCAACCCCTAAACCCTAAATCCTACATACCGCTGGCGGCGTCAAGTTCCTAGACACGAAACCGTCGGTGAGATCCCTTCATAGTCGGAGTCCTTTTGGTGTTTTTATATTTGGGGGCTTCCGAAAATAGGGGAGCCTAATACAGTACCCTAAATAGTATACGATGCTTATTATAAGGACCCCCAAATATTGTACCCCTAATTTTCGGAAACCCCCAAACCCTAAACCCCAAAGCCTTTATAGAACCCTAATAGATCCCTTTAAAAAAAAAAACCCTGAAGGATCCCTTTACAGGCACCCCTTATTTTCGGAAACCCCCATCTATACGGGCCGTGTCCGAATTCAGCAGTTCCAACGAACGGCGTCGGGATTCGGAGCGAAAGTTTCAGACGCTGGGCTTGTGGCTGGTGTTTAGGGCTTCGGGTTTAGGGTTCAGGGCTTAGGGTATAGGGGTTAGGGTATAGAGGTTAGGGTTTAGGGTTTAGGGCTTCGGGTTTAGGGTTCAGGGCTTAGGGTATAGGGGGTTAGGGCTTGGGGTTTGGGGCTTAGGGTCAAGGCCCGGCTTGATTACTTTCCGAATAGGATCCTGTGGTACAAAAACAGCCACAACTGTTTGTTTACATATCGCAACTTCAAAACCGCAAACCCTGAACCTGTACCCTACACCACGCAAGCCAAGCCCCAAACCCCAAACCCTAAACCCCTAAACCCCTAAACCCCTAAACCCCTAAACCCTAAACCCTAAACCCCTAAGCCCTAAACGCCCTAAGCCCTAAATCCTAAACCCCTAACCCCTAATCCCTAACCCCTAAACCGAAAGCCCTAAACCCTAAACCCTAAGCTCTAAACCCACAACCGAAAGCCCTGAACCCTTAACCCTAAGCCCGAAGCCCTAAAACCCTAAACCTTAACCCTAAGCCCAAAACCGAAAGCCCTAAACCCTAAGCCCCTAAACCCCAAAACCTAGTCGCCAACTCAATCTCCAAAGCCCTAAACCCTAAACCCTGAACCCTAAACCCTAAGCCCTAAACCCTTAACCCTAAGCCCCTAACCCAAAACCTAGTCGCCGGATGCAGCCTCGAGATCTTCCACGGCACTAGGATAAAGAGAGCCTGGGGTTTACGGCTTTTGGATCTGTTTAGGGTTTAAGGTTTTTGGGTGGTTTTAGGGTTTAGGGATTTTGGGGCTTTAGGGTTTGAGGGTTGAGGGTTTTAGGGTTTAAGGTTTTTGGGGTGGTTTTAGGGTTTAGGGATTTTGGGGCTTTAGGGTTTGAGGGTGTAGGGTTTTAGGGTTTAGGGATTTTGGGGCTTTAGGGTTTGAGGGTTTTAGGGTTTAGGGTTTTTGGGGGTTTTTAGGGTTGAGGGTTTTTGGTACGTTTGTGTAGGGGCCTTCATAATCAGACTAGGGTTTTAGGGGATGTTAGATTATAGTTGTGATAAGGACCCCCCAAAACTCTGTTGAGATTATTCAGGCCCCTACATTAGATGTAGAACCAGAGCTGCCCGTAAAGTTTCAAACCTAGCATGGCAAATTTTGTGGCTCACGGCAGGTTCTCCATAGTGCTTCTAAGGTTTCCGTTGCTCAGAACTAAGCCCAAGACGTCGTAATGGTAGAAGATAGGTAAATTGTGGTAAGGCTTACTAGGGTTGCGAATAAAGTCAGCAACAGTACTTAGCAGAGCAGTCGCAGCAGACAGATGGAAGACACGCAAGGACAAAGCGTAGCAAAGAAGGTAGTGGTCACAATCGTCGTGATCCTATAGCACTACTGCGCCTATTTCGGCGACGGCCCCGGGCCGTGCAGCCTGTTGGCCTCTTTCAGCCGCAAGCACCCCCCGAAACATGTTTGGGTTACTACCTCAACAAAGCCCATGCCATCCCTAAACCCTATACCCTAAACCGTGTCTCTAACACCTCTTGCCCTAAAGCCCCTTGACTTGCACATAAACTCGGGAGGCGACCCTAACCCCCCCTAACCCCTCAACCCTAAAACCTAAACCTTACACCCTAAACGGCCCTAAACCCTAAACCCTGGCCGCTTCCGGTGAGGCCCGTGCGATGATCAGGGAGAGGAGGCCGGAGATCACGTAACTGACGAGGGTTTCGGGTACTGAAAGGGTTTCTGAATAGTGACGGGTTTCAAACATGGAGATTCCTTAATTTTCTACTGCTTGTACCTCATACTGCTGCTACTGGCAGTTATCCCGACCTCTATATTCCTGGTTTAGGTGTTGGGGCAGCCTTTATGTTTCGCTACCTGTCCAGCAACCTTGGAGTGTTGCAGGTTAACCTCTGGAGTTTTCTATGGCGAGTCGAACACCACGAACGTCTCGGGGTCAGAATACCCAAAGCATCGGGCTTTAAACTACATGGCACAAACACCCTAAACCCTAAACCCTAAAGCCTAAACCCTAAACCCTAAAGCCTAAACCCTAGACCCTAAACCCTAAAGCCTAAACCCTAAACCCTAAAGCAACTGCAACTACAAATCCCCTCAATGTGGGCAGATGGACCCTGTAGGACCAGTCCACGGTTTCGTGCTTGGGCTTCAAGGTCTCTGCCTCTGGGGCTTACAGGCTAATCGCTAGAACCTGGGGTTCGCATTTAAATTAAGGCTGTGGTTTTGTGGGCAGCCTGGTTTCGAGGGACGTCTGTCACAAGCTCGCTCTCTCTCTCTCTCTCTCTCTCTCTCTCTCTCTCTCTCTCTCTCTCTCTCTCTCTCTCTATGTATTTCTATATATATATATATATATATATATATATATAACTATATGTATGTGTATATATATATATATCTCTCTCTCTCTCTCTCTCTCTCTCTGTACCAATCTACACAACAACAGCTAGGGGACTTGTATACATATCGTGTAAGTACATGTGCAGTTAAGTGGTATGCGCCTGGAGCCGAGTGTTGATCCGACTAGAGCCCGCCTGTTTGCAATCAGGCGGAAGCCGTTCATGCCCCGGTAGCACATGTTGTCGGTGAGGCCCTGCACTGCATCAGGGTAAAGACCTTCGACACCCTATACCATACCTCAAGCCTCAAGTCAGCAACCTCACGATCAGTCTTCAGCCTAAAAACCTCCGGAAATCTGGGGTTTCAGTGTTTGGGCTGTAGACGTCCTACGTGAAACATTACAGCCCCAAGTACCCGACCCTTTGTTCTCAAGGGTTTAGAAGGGTTCAGGCTTCCTGTTTAAGCCAGTTTAAGCCAACTCCTGAGTCTCTCTCAGACGTGCGGAGGGATCAACGGTTGATGATATAAATCCTGCGTTACCTTAAGGACCCTAAACTATGGGAATTATGGTATATTCCTTATTATGGGTAATGCAGGATTTATATCATCAACCGAGGTACATGCCCACGTAGCTTCTCCACATGGGTTTAGGGTTTAGGGCTTAGGTTTCCCTACGGTTGGGGTTGTTCTCAAGGTCCCTTTGAAAGGAGATATCGAGGAGGTCTCGAAAGATTCCGGGTTCATTTACTGCTGTTGGGCGCACGCATGCTTAGGGCTTAGGGCCTAGGGTTTAGGCACTAGGCAAAGCGTATAGGACTTCTTGTAGGATGTAGTGCCTAGGATTGTAGGGTTTAGGGTTTCTTGGTGACTACCGGGTCCCCCCAAAAGCCGTGAGAAGTTCCCCCGCAGCCTGCCAAAACTCTCTCATGAAGCCGCAGTTCCTCGGCTGGGTAGGGCGCAGGAAGGTTTGGTTTAGGGGTTTAGGGGGTGTAGGGTTTCGGAGGGTTGTAGGAGGGTCTAAGGGGGTTTGGAAAGTCCAGGAGGGTTTCGGGGGTTTAGGGTTTTGTAACAAGCTTTCTTGACAATGTCATATACTATGAGCACATATGAAACCGTGGGCAGTGGGGTTTACCAAGTGAGTTTTGACAAGGATTGTTTTGTGTACTTTAGAGGTTGAACGAGTCATGGGATTTAGTAGCAGCTAAAGTCATAGAACTATACCCTAAACCCTAAACCCTAAGCTCCTGTATCCCATGGTCATGTATGGGCTTCATGTCATGGAGCCTTGGGGATTCAAAGCTTAGGATTCTACCCGCAGGTACATTGTACTATCCCCCAAGACTATTCGACTTCAGCATTTGTCTTAACATGTACTAAACCCTAATCCCGAACTCGGGTTTAGGGATTAGGGCCCAAGGGTTGGCGGTTTAGGGTTTCAGAATCTGAGGGTTCAGGGCTTACCCTAAGGCTCTAATAACTCATATGTTAAGGCTTTGGGGCCCAATGACCATACTATATGAGGCTTTTGGGCTATTTTGAGCCTTAGGGTTAGCGAGTGCTAAACCCAAGAATGCAGGGTTTAGGGCCGAGGGTTTTAGATTGGAGGCTCCTACCATTTTAAGGACTTATATAAAGAAATCATATTAGGGAACCGAATAAAAGGTAGGTTCCTCTGGGTCCAGGTAGGGCTTGGGGGGTTCGGGTCTCTGCTTTGGGGCTTATATAGGGTTTTAGCGTTTAGTAAGGGCTCAGGGGTAAAGCCCCAAAGGCCAACACCACAAACCCTAAAAGCACCCCAACTCCGAACTCGCACCTATGCCCCAAAACCGAAGTACTTGCATTCTAAAGCTTAAGCCTAGAAACCCGAAGCCCCCTACCCACGAGGCCGAGATTAAAGGGTCCTTTATGAATAAGAATACGGTCTTGAATTTCAATCTGGTATGAGAAGAATGAAATATATGGTGCATAGAATACTACGGCATACCTCGCAATACTATACTGTGCTATGGTATTACTTGGGCCGCTCTCTTGCGGTATTGTTTGGAGCGCTGGGCGTTAGGAAGCAGGGCCCTGGACAACAAAAGAAAGGAAAGCTTTAGAAGCCCCCCCCCCCCACCCTGTAATAGTGACTATAAGGATTATATATAATTATCTTAGGGCCCTATTATATTCCTATTATACCACTATTCCCACACCCTCAAACCCTAAACTCTAAATCCCAAACCCCTAAACCGAAACCCCCAAAGCCCAAACCCTAAACCCCGATTTGGGGTTCTGGTGGGTTTAGGCTGGAGTGTTTCGGGCTTGAGGGCCCTTAATGTTTGCGGTTCAAGGTTGGGGGGTTCAGGACTCTGGGGTTGAATCGAACACCTCAAAACACTCCCAAGATGCAAAGAACAGCAAATCAGGCCCAGCTTCAAGTTGTCCAGGAGGTTCGTGACCTTTCGGATGACCTCCCTTTGCACCTTGCGTGGCCATAAAATGGGGCTAATGGGATATGAAGCCAACTACCATGGGCATATGTATAAGCATGTGCATGCCAACATGAGTATGTATATCCACATGTACATGTGTGCAGATGTAAGCATATACAATATGTATATATGGATGTGCTTTAAGTATAATACTCATACATATATACATATAGACATATAATATATATACATATATATATATACATATATATATATATATATAGGCATACATACGTATATACATACATACATACACACATACATACATACATACATAAATACATACATAAATACATACATACATACATACATACATACATACATATATACATATATACATATATACATATATACATATATATATACATATATACATATATACATATTATATACATATATACATATACATATATACATATTATATACATATATACATATACATATACATATACATATACATATACATATACATATACATATACATAGACATATACATATAAATATATATACATATATATATATATATATATGTTACACTATATATATATATATGTATATGTATACACACACTTATATACACATACATACATGCATGCATGCATACATACATACATACGCATCTATTTTGTCAGACCTCTCAGGGCCAGGCGAGGTCTTGCAGGTCAGTGAGGATGTCATCCACCAACTGGCCGTTGCTCGCACAAAGCCCACTTTCCCGAAGACTCCAAGAATCCCTCAAAGAAGGAATAGACCTTTCATCATATAGATGGGTCCCCCTGTGATCTCTCTTCTTCAATAGCCGGGCCCCAAATGACTAGAGCTCGTCGAAAGGTTTTTTTGCGGCGTCTCACAGTTGAACTGCTTAAGGGTTTAGGGTTTAAGGTTTGAGGTTTGGGGTTAGGGGTTTAGGGTTTGGGGTTTAGGGTTTAAGGTTTGGGTTTAGGGTTTTTGCAAGTCCATGCACAGCTTGGTTTTGGATGCGACTGGCCCTGGCCGTGGACATCGTCAAGGGTCAAGGCTCCTTGTGTTTCGGGGAGACACTCACGCGCTCTCTCTTCTATAAAGCCCGAAACCATAAGCCAGAAACCAGAAACCACAAAACCGTAGGCCGTAGGCCTTCATTGACAAGAGCATTTCACAAGGTGATATCTTGGTATAGGTCCCCACCAGATGATGGCTTTTTGGCATGTAGCAACTCATTCCAAAGCAGTTATCCAAGTGTCACAGTGTTGCAGCTTTCCGCCCCTCTTGCCTTGCAATGTGCTGGGCCCCGAGGGTCCTTGGAATGGCCCTGCTGCATTCCTCATGATCCTGATTCACTGCCACAGTTAACCGTTGTCTTTTCTGTACATTCCGGGTTTGTAAGATTTCGGTGCATTAGGGCTTCAAGAGTTTTCTGGTGTTAGGCGGAGCGTTCACGGCCCAGGGTATCGGGAAATTCGGTTCATGGTTATGAGTTTTGACTTCTTCATCCTTAAGCATCTCAATCCGTAATCCTGAAAACTTGAACCCTGGATCCACCATTAGACGCAACTTTTACAAAACCCTAGGTCTTGACTCCTGCGTCCCAGGCTCGGGAACATGCCAGACACACGGTTGCTGTGATGTCATCAAAATACTCGAAGACCTGGCAGTGGAGCGCTGAGACGGGTTGCTAATGACTGCTGCGCTGCTCACTGCTGCGCTATGTCGCGACAGTTGGCGAGTGAGGCTCCAGGCCACTGCGATACAACCGCTACCCAAAATCTCATAACCTTGGTCACATCACGTTAACAAACTCGGACGTCAAGGATTTTTTCGTTGACATGATCACCATGATCATTATAATCAGACACTTGTGCTTGGAGGATACTTAGCAACAAAGGACATAGTCACGGCAACTTTGCTTTTAGTCGATGATCACTCCAACCCTCAACAACCCATGTAGAACCTTTGTAGACGCCTCATGGAACCCGGCTTTTCAGAAGTGAACACACTCAAAACCCTACAACGTCTTTGAATATATATATATAGCAGCTTAGATCATCCTTACAACAACCTATGCCCTAGACCCTGCTCTAACCATTGAATCCCCTACATTAAGAGGGCCTGCGCCCAGGAGTACATACCTTCATTTACTTAGTTCATGCACTTGCGAATCATATACCAGCAAGCCCATATATACAAATGCTAGGACTATGTGTGGCAGAACGCAAGGCAGCCCTATTTGCAAAGGCCTTTGTGAAGAGAATTCACTGCCACCGACCATGCAGCCTTCAGCTTTGTGACGCGCACGCCGCAAATTCGTGCCCCAATGCATGAGTGAGCAAAGCTCCAGAGAGCCAGTCATGGTCAGGTGTCTGTGCCTACCAGGACAGGTAAGGCAGCGAGATCACAGCCTCCGAGGCATCGTCACTGTCGATCCCTTCCAGCGGACGTTTTGCCTTGACTGTCACACAGGGGACCAAACATTGTCGCCAGCTGTTTCAAACCTCTGGTGCCGGGGCCGCGACGAGGTCAGGGACAGGCGGCGGCCGTGATCTGTTGCACAATCCACCCTCGAATGGTTTCCTCGACGGCTACCTTTTGCTTCAAGTTGCACCCGTCCAGGCGAGCTTGAATATCCGCCATGGGGGCCAGTGTTGGCACCTTCACCTCCAGCAGGACGTGGCCTCAGCTGGAATCGTCGATGAATGTTGGTCTCCCACGAGGGTAATCCGCATGTTCTTGATCTGAGACCATGCTTGGAGGGTCGGGGGACTTAGTATGTAGTTATGTTAAAGAGCTATAAGTACCATGACCCCAATTAGGTTTAAGGCACTTATAAGTCTATATAACAACTACGTACTTACTAAGTCCCTCGACCCTCCAAGTGACATACCCAACTTTTCCCAAAATAGGGGACCCTACGTAGTACCCTAAATAGTAGGATCCTTATTATAAGGACCCCAAATAAAGTATCCCTAATTTGCGGAAACTCCCATATCCAACTGCTCAGGCTTAGGCTTCTTGGACGTAAATGCACGAAGTGTCGCTGTCTTGTCGCTGTGCTTTGCGTCTGCCTAGACCCTAAACCCACAAATTCCAAATCCTAAATCCTTAACACCCTAAACCCCAAACCCCTAAACCCCAAACTCAAACCCTAAACCTCCTCTACTATCCAAATTCGAAATATCCGGTCTCAAGACCTTCTCCAGGTCGTCCTTGGCATCCTTGACATGCCTAGGTTGGAAGCTCAGAGGGGTCCACGATGTGTCGGGCTTAGGGTTTGAGTCGGTTTGAGATCCCTGAACCCTAAACCCTAAACCCCTAAACCCTAAACCCTAAACCCTAAACCCAGAGATTTAGGGTTGAGGGCTTAGGGACTTGTTGTGGTTTTGGGCTCAGGTTTCTTAGATGGGGTTTCAAGGCTTAGGATTTGGCACTTCTTAGGGTGCTGGCGCTTGGGATTTAAGGCTTCCGGTGTAGGCAGGGGGTGAAACAACCCCGAACCCTAAACCCTGAATCTTGAACCTCGCAACCGTCCGGAACATAAGAGCAGGTAGATGGCCAGATGTGCAGGCAGGTAGGTAGGTAGGTAGATAGGTACACACATACGTACGCACGTACGTAGTACGTACATCAACAGATAGGTACATAGATAGGTAGACTCACAGGTGGATGGATGGATACATAGATAGATAGGTGGGTAGATAGGTCGGTTGGTAGTTAGATAGGTTGAAGCATCCCGCCAGAACACGAAACCCTACAATCCTGAAGCCCTTTGAAACCCCAAGGCCCATAACACACCGAACAAACAGCCCACCTCGCAACAAACCAGAACACACACACGCACACACAAACCCTAAACCCTAAACCCCTAAACCCCTAACCCTGAACCCTAAACCCTAAACCCCTAAACCCCTAAACCCCTAACCCTAAACCCTAAACCCTAAACCCCTAACCCTAAACCCTAAACCCTAAACCCTAACCCCCCCTCCCTCCCCCCCGCCTGCCCCTAAAAAATGAAAAACTCAGAGCAAAACTCCGCTGAAAAGCTGAGGGCCCGGACTGCTCGAACTCTGCCAGGGTGCAGTCCCTTGTGTAAGGTTAGGAACTTAACTATACTGAACTTAGAACCCTAGCAAAAACTGTAATTTTAGCTATTTCTTAAGAATTATAATAACCAAAAACAAAAAATATTTCTAAGTACCCCTAAGTTAAGGTTTTAGGATTTAGGGTTATGGGTTTAAGGCTTTAGGGTTTAGGGTTTAGGATTCTGGGTTTCAGGTTTTAGGGTTTAGGATTATGGGTTTAAGGTTTTTGTTTAGGGTTTAGGATTAAGGGTTTAAGGTTTTAGTTTGGAGTATAGAATTAAGGGTTTAAGGTTTTAGTTTAGGGTTTAGGATTAGAGCCTGGTTCAGGGTTTAGTATCTCTTGGAGTTTTGAAATGTCCTTGCGAGGGTTCTACGAGTAAGACCAGTAGCTAAACAACCTTGAACACTTGAACCCCGCAACCGCCAAAATTCACCAACAAAAGCCCCAAACTTTGAAACTCCAACGCGCTCAACCCTGGACGGCGAGAACGCAACATGGGAGCCTCAATAATTAGAACAGGGTGGTGGGAAATCTTTAATTCACTATAGTACTATAAAGAAAATCAGTGGATGCTGCTACTACTTTTTCAAGCCCTTATAGTATGGTTCAGGGTGTGGGTCTTTCGGCTTTGGGCGTTGGGGTGTATGCTTCAAGCACTTGCGGTTTTGGGTTTGGTGCTGCAGGTGTAGGCTTTGAGATGTACGTACCTTTATTTGGGGTTGAACTTTAGGGCTGTAATTGGCCATAATTTGTGGATTTCCAGGTTCCCATACGGTTTAGGGCCGACCCTAAACCCTAAACCCACAAGGTCTTCTAGACTAGGTTCCGCAGCAATCCCTTAACAACACAAGCGCACGTGCTCTGTTTGTTGCTCTAGGACCCCTAACTGCTCATGCGATTGAAAAGAGGAGCATAACGTACTGCATGGACCTTAAGACTTCTGACGTACTGCAAAGCCTAGACAGCCTAGTGAATACTAATGTATCCTAATACAGCCCCAATAGACCCCAAGAAACCCTACGAAACCCGAATAAACCCCAAAAAGCCAATAACTGCTCATCAATCTTGAGTAATCAACCCGAACATACCACTACATAAACCCCTGGCAGCCCCTGTAAACCCAAATCATCCCAAATAAACCCCAAAAACCCTGACAAGCCCTACGAACCCTAAACCCTAAACCCCAAAACCCTAGGACCCTAAAACCCTATACCGTAAATCGTAAACTCTAAACCGATAAACCCTTACACCGGCGTGAGACCTCGTTCGAGTGTAGGTCCGGAAAGTGCTCCCGTACAAGCAGGTCTGGCCGGGGTTTAGGGTTTCGGGGCTTAGGGTTTAAGGGTTTAGGGTTTAGGGCTTAAGGGCTTAGGGTTTGGGGTTTAGGGTTTAAGGGTTTAAGGGTTTAGGGTTTAGGGTTTAAGGGCTTAGGGTTTAAGGGCTTAGCGTTTAGATTTTAGGGGAAGGAAAATGTGGGAGCGGGACTTGGAGGAGGAGTGGGAGAAGGAGTGATTGTAGTCGTCGTTGTCCTTGGGAGTGGGCATAGTAGTAGTAGTAGTAGTCGTCGTCGTAGTAGTAGTAGTAGTAGCAGCAGAAGTAGTGGTAGCGGCAGCAGCAGCAGCAGCAGCAGCAGGAGGAGGAGGAGGAGTAGCAGTAGCAGTAGCAGTAGCAGTAGCAGTAGCAGTAGCAGTAGCAGTAGCAGTAGCAGTAGCAGTAGCAGTAGCAGTAGCAGTAGCAGTAGCAGCAGCAGCAGTAGCAGCAGCAGCGGCAGCAGTAGTAGTAGTAGTAGTAGAAATAGAAATAGAAATAGAAATAGAAATAGAAATAGAAATAGTTAAATACTCGTCGTCCTCGTCATAGTAGGAATGAGAGTAGGAAGGGGAGCAGGAGTAGGAAGAGCAATACGGTCCACAGTTGTAGTAGTGTTGGTCGTCGTCGTGATCGTCGTCGTCGTCCTCGTCCTCGTCGTCGTCGTCGTAGTACTAGTAGGAGTATGAGTAGCAGTACCACCGTTTAGAAGTGCGAGCAGGAGGAGGACTAGGAGGAGCAGGAGTAAGACTAGGATTAGGACTAGGAATGGGGGTGGAAAGAGCACTAGGAGTAGGGGACTCGGAGTAGGGCTAAGAGGAGCAGTACGAGGAGGAGTAGGAGGAGGAGCAGTAGCAGTAGCAGTAGGAGGAGGAGTGGGGGGTCCACCTGTTGGATCCTTTCAGGGGTCTGGACAGACGCACAGGGTACCGAGAGAGACCTCCTTTCGGACATATGCGTGTGTCTGTGCGTGTATACATATACATATACATATATGCGTACACCTGTACATATACCTCTACCTATACATATACAAAACACATATATGTATACATGCACATCTGGACGCTTCTCAACATTCGCCGGGCGTTCTTGGTCCCCGGCAGAAGGCGTCACTCTTTTCCGGATCCGGGAAAGCACCACCCAATGTACTGCGAACGCCTAAAAACAAACAACCCTAAAACCTGAACCCTAAACCCTAAACCCTAAACCCTAAACCCTAAACCCTAAAAACGAATAACCCTAAAACCTGAACGACGAACCGTGGACTCAAAGCGCCAGCCTGCAAAACCAAACTAAAAACCCGAAAGCCTATGCTCAACCTTTACAGCCCAAAACCCTTGACCCCACATCATGTAGCAGGGTAATGAATCGCTAAACCCTAAGCCCTATATCCCTAAACCCTGAAACCAGAACCCCAAACCCTGAACCTGGACAAACCCCTTGCAAAAAAGAACTGGTGGGCCTCTCTGCGACCTCGGAATACGGTTTGCGGAGTAGGTGTTAGGGTTTAGGGCTTAGGTATTAGGGTTTGGAGTTTAGGATTCATAACCCTCAACCCTCAACGACTCTGAAAAACAGGAGGGCTCGACGCCGCTCCAGTCGCCCGGTCCATTCTGACAGGCGCCAGGGTGTTGAGAGATTCGTAGGTTTTCGGGATTGAAGTGGGGGTTTATGCGAGTACGTGTAGCAGGGCTGGGAGTTCAAGGAATGGGAGAATTCGGGTTTGGGGGTTCCGGGTCTGGGTCTGAGATGTTTTGGGCTTGAAGCTTTACGGATCAGATATGGGCGTAGATTTAGGGATGTAGGGAAGAGGAGATTGAAGTTAGGGGTTTGGTGTTGTGCGCAAATATACCACGGTTTCGAAGTCCTGCTTAAAAACCCTGAGCCTTAGCCCTTGGGTTGGGTTTAGGGTTTAGCATCAAACGCATCTGACAGGAGCTTGGGAGGAGACAGTCGTGAGAATCACCACCCAAAACATCGAACTTCAAAGTAAGAAACTGTAGCTTCGGGCGTAGGGTTTAAGGTTTAGGATTATATAAGGCGTAGGGGTAGGGTTCAGGGTCTTGGTGGTTCCCCCAATCCTAACGTTACGGAGAGTTGCACATGCGGAATACGGACGAGCAACAACAACACAGCGAGGCGCGAACCCTAAAATTCTACTGCGAACCCACTGAGCTCTATACGATTCTAAACCCCAAGTCCAAAGCCATGTCATGATTCAAGTAGAACTCCTCGTCATACAGCCGCCAGAGGACAAGCGCAAACTGTTCTTCGGTTGATGAGTCTAAATCCTGCATCACCTTAAGAACCCTAGACTATGGGAATTATGGTATATTCCTTGTTCTGGGTCATGCAGGATTTATATCATCAACCGTTACAACACCACAGAAAAAAGAAAAGCAACGAAGAGCAGAACTGGATCCAAGGGTAAAAGGAGGGACCCTTAATAAGGACCCCTAGGTATATACCCTTAATACAGCTATTATATACCCATTATATAGCCCATTTTTGGGTAGGGGTTCCCATTAAGGGTCCCTCCTTTTCCCCTTTGACTGGAGATACTCCGGAGGTCTTGAGTGTCAGTAACGTTGTCCCCCTCTTTTATGCTTCCCACACCCTGAACCCCTAAACCCTCAACCCCTCGATCCTAAACCCTAAACCCCTAAACCCTAAACCCCTAAACGCCTAAACCCCTAAACCCCTAAGCCTCTAAACCCCTGAACCCCTAAACCCCTAAACGCCTAAACCCCTAAACCCCTAAACCCAAAACCCCTAAACCCCTGAACCCCTAAACCCCTAAACGCCTAAAACCCTAAACCCCTGAACCCCTGAACCCCTAAACGCCTAAACCCCTAAACCCCTGAACCCCTAAACCTCTACTCCCACTTCCTACGGCCTTGACCATGCTTGCCGGTCTGCACCGCGTGTTGCCGCCCATGCTGGTGACCAGGTAGGTGCATTTGAACCTGGATGCCCTAAACCCTAAACCCTAACCCCCCCTAACCCTAAAACCCCTGGATGATGTCTAGAGCTTGTCATGGTTGGGATAGGATTCAAAATATACATTTGTATTCCTCATTGGGTTTAAGTACCCATAAAAATGCAAAATGTTACCCAACTATGACAAAGGGTAGTTGAGTATCTTGGCGATTTCGTTTCGCTTCATTTCTGAATTCTGAGTTCTCCATGCAGTTGAGCACAAGGATTCCTCTCCGAGCTCGGTCAACCAGGTTCTTGTTAGCGAACTGTTCCCGGCCCTCAATGAGAAACTGGTTTGGCCTTTAAACACCCTGAAAAATATTTTTATATATAGGGTCCCTTATAAACACAAATATGGAAAATGAAAAATGTCCCAAAATCCAACCGATGAAAATCATAGTTTTTCTGGCGTGCTGGCAGAAGGCTGTTGGAAAGCGGAATGAAGCGGACGTTCAGCTGGGAGTCCAAGTGGGTCTCCAGCATCTGCGACACCTCCTGCGAGAGCGTCGGGGGCCAACTTGCCCAAATTGCCAGTGGAGGAGCTCCAGAATCGACGGCACTTGTCCGGCGCTGATGTTCAGTGCAGCTCCGGGGCAGCTCAGAACATGGCCGATGAAGATTGGGTAGATGCTGTGCATGTTCCCCCTAAGCATGTGCTGCAAGGTGCTGTCGCTCAACACCAGGACGGCCCCAGACTCGGGGGCGCATTTGTCACTGGACGAAGTGAGGAGCGGTGCTCAACACTACTTGGAGGATCATGGGACTTAGTAACTGAGTTATTACTAGGGTAACTACACTTATAATTACTTATAACCCCAATTAAGGTACTTATAGCCATACTGACTAAGTCCCATGATCCTTTAAGTAGTCAGCGAGGGAGTGGGTCTGACCCTGAATCGCGTGCTGCAATGAATTAAATGCTGAGAAACCGCACACCCCTTTCAGGCTTCCTTTCAGGATAAGGGCTCAACTACGGGTCCCTTTAAGGGGCTCCATATGGGTTCCATTCAGGGTCCCTTTAAAGGGTTCTACACCCTTGAAGGGTTCTATGCTGGTTTTTCGGGCCTTGGCAGTTTACGAGTTGGAGGTTTACGGCTCCATGGGCGATGAGGGGGCACAGTAAGTTAGGTTTTAGGTACCTTAGTTGGGGTTATGTATCGTTGTAACGATGATAACGATCTGACATACAACCCTGCTGACCACATCTCCTGTCAGTAACCCACACGACCTACCTTTTAAACTAGGAGCTACAGTATATAGGAGGTTCATCATTGTCAGCTTGGACAGTGGAGGTCTTGTGGGCTACAGATAAGCCCTAAGCCCCAAACTCCAACGCACGCAAACAATACATGCCAAAACTGGCCGAAAACTTAAAACTCCAAAGCCTACAACCCCAAAGCCCAAAGCCTAAAACCCAAAGCCCAAAGCCTAAGACCTTCAACCCTCAAACCCTAAAACCCTCAAACCCCGAAACCCGAAAGCCTAAAACCCAAATCGGCGAAACCGTCCCGGGCAGTCGAGGCGGGCACCGGTTCCCGGTGACCAGCGGCTCCCTGGAAAGACGGGCTCTCACGTGGCTGCGGGTTCCGGATTTAAGCGCGATTTGGGTTTTTGGGGCTTTTTTAAACCCTAAACCCTAAACCCGGGTTTTGGGGCTTCGGCTAGGGGTTTTGGGGCTTTAGGGGCTTTTGGTGTTCAGGGTCTTTTGGGGTTTTGGGGCTTAAGCGGATTTAGGTAATTGAGGGCTTAGGGTTTTGCCGTTCCTTCTTTTAGGGGCTCAGGGTGTTGGTTCCTTTTTTGGGCTTTGGTGTTTTTTTGGCGTTTTGGGGTTTAGGCTTCTGGACTGAAGGCTTTCGGGCTTGGCCCTTGTGTGAATGGGGCTGAGGTTGGAAGTGGTTTGCTTGGAGGTTCATGGGTTGGTTGTGAAGGTTCCTTTAAAGGGATCTATAGGGATTCGATAAGGGTAGAGGGTTTGGGGTTTATGGGTAGTACTAAGTTCCCAGCAGGATAACTAACTTTAGTTGTAACCCATGTAGTTCCCAGCAGGATAACTATAGTAACTCTATAGTTACAACCCATGTTAGGGGACTTCTAATCCCACTTATAACTACCCATGAACCCTAAACCCTCTATCCTCATAGAATCCCAAAAGATCCCTTTAAAGGAACCCTATACCCTTATGGAATCCCTACAGATCCCTTTAAAGGAGCCCTTATCACTACCCATGAACCTCCAAGTGAGGTTTCAGGCTCAGTTCGGAGATCCAGGGTTCCGGGTTTATGTTTGGAGATCCGGGGTTCGATTTGGGTGATTCTCAAAAGTAGGGTCCCTTTTTGGGGGTCCTTAGGGGGTTCCTTTAAAGGGATCCTTAAAGGGCTCTATAAGGGATCTATAACAGGGTTCTGTATTCTAATACGGCACCTATTATTTAGGGTACCCAAAAACGGACCCTAATTTTGACAACTATCACCATTTGTGGGCTTCCGAAAAAAGGGGACCCGAGCAGACTTTAGCCTACCAAACCCTACTTTGTTTGTAGGTTCTTAGCATGAACCCTAATATGGAAGTTATAGGGAGCCTACAAGAAAGTAGGGTTTGTAGGTTAAGGTAGTTCCCTCCATGGTCGGATTCGTATTATTAGGTACCGCTAATTCTCGGAAACCCCCCATTGAGAGTTAGCGGTGTAGGTGGAGAAGCCCTCCATGGTACAAGGTCGACCGACCGGCTGTAGGCCAGAGGTGAGTTTCCATGTGCTGCACTGCGTTTAGGGTTGGTTTTGAAATGCTTCTTGCGGATTTAACGCTTTTGAGTTGAAGGCTTGTGAGCCGTGGCATACCTGTTTCAGGTTCTTCGGAAGGCTTTCAATGGTTGAAACGGCTAGGGCTGGTTTTGTTACGGCATTTAGTAGTGCTGTAGACGGCTTCTTAAGACGTTAGGATGTAGGGCAACTACTGCTCTTCCCGCAACGGCCGCTACTACTCCTACTCTTACTTGCTTTTCAGCTGCGGTTGCTAGTACTGTGTATTCCTATTGCTGCTCCTGTTGTTGCTGCTGCTGCTGCTACTTACTACTACTACTACTACTACTACTACTACTACTACTACTACTACTACTACTACTACTACTACTACTACTACTACTACTACCAATACGACGACTACTACTACTACTACTACTACTACTACTACTACTACTACTACTACCAATACGACGACTACTACTACGACGATGAGGACGACGTTGAGGAGGGCGAGGACGACCACAACGGCGGCGGGGAAGATTGTGTTTAAGCGTAAGAGTGCTTACCCTCCAAGTTGTCCTACGTAAGCCCTAATCCCAGCACTGAAGCCGCTAAACCCCTGATCCACTAACATTTTCGAGAGGGTTGGAGGCGTCGGTCCGACCTAGCCCATGCACGCGCTGTGAGTCACGACGCTTGCACAAGAAAACCCAAGCCGCTGAAGAATCGAACCACCAAGACTAGAGTATAGAACAATAATACCACGAGAGCCTCCATGAAATCCAAACTGAAAGGCGTCTAAGCTGAGTTCTGCGCTTTAACACCTTTGCCATATGTAAGGGTACCCAGTATACACTTGTAGGCAGGGAGATACAAAACTACACAGCGTACAAGGACGCCACCAGGAAGACCCAGTTAGTTCTCAACCGTCATATAGAAGCCCCAATATAGCCCAATACATCCCTCAAAAATTTGTGAAATCTTGAAAAGACCTTATAAGGCCCAATATGGATCGCTTTTGAAAACTGTTGGCTCTAATTTCTAATCATCTAAGTAAGGGTAGTACAACGGGGACCTAGAAATGCTGAGGCTCCCCACTTGGCATCCTGAATGAAAGCCACGGAGGCCTCGCACCCCGCCTGGGTCCTCAACACTCGCTGATGAAGCCCAGAACCCGTCTATCAAAGGGGAAAAGGAGGGACCCCTAATGGGGACCCCTACCCCAAAATGGGCTATATCATGGGTATATAATAGCTATATTAAGGGTATATACCTAGGGGTCCTTATTAAGGGTCCCTCCTTTTACCCTTGGAGTCTAGATAGAGATAGAGGGGATGATAAGTAGAATAGGGTTCAGGTTCTGGAGCGATAATGAGTAGGAACGGGTTTTGGCGACATCTCAGGGTTTCGGGTTTGGGGCTTGGGGATTCGGGTTCAGCATTATGGGCTCAAGGCCTGCATACCATGCTACCGGATTTAGCGATGGGGTGAATCTTGAGCTAGACCGGAAACCCAAACCCTTAGATCCTAAGCTCCAAACCCTAAACCCAAACCCATGGATCCTAAACAAACCCTAAACCCTAGACCCCAAACCCCAGCCCTATTGATCCTATTGCTGATATATAGACACAATCCTACACGGCCCTGTATACCTGAAGTATGGGAAGCATGGTACATACCATACCATACTTTGTGTACTGCAGGATTTTGTCAATCCACCATAATCCCTAAACCCTGAACTCCCTGATCTCAGCTTGTCAAAGTCAAGGCATCAAGGCTCTGGAGCTTTAGGGTCTAGGCTTTTGTGTTGTTTGTTTAAGGGTCTAGGCTTGGGGTTTAGGGTCTTTGGTTTACGGTCGTGGGTTGTGGGTTCTACTGTTGATGATATAAATCCTGCATCACCTTAAGGACCCTAGACTATGGGAATTATGGTATATTCCCTATTATGGGTAATGCAGGAGTTATATCATCAACCGTAGTGCTCAGGATTTCGGGGTTGGCTCTTGTATTCGGATTTTAGTTCGTGGGGCTTTAGGGTTCTCGGGTTCGGGCGGGGTTGGAGCTTAGGGGTTCGGGGAGTAGCGATTACACCCTACAACCTAAACCCCCAAACCCATAACCCCTAAACTCTAAACCCCTAAACCCTAAACCCTAAACCTAACCCCTAAACCCCTAAACCCCTAAACCCAAACCCCTAAACCCTAAACCCCTAAACCCCTAAACCCCTAAACCGATATCGGGTGCTAGAGCTTCTGATGCACATGCGTCCTGTCACCGTTGCACAGAGAGACTTCCAAATCCATAAATGAAGGAAACCTGAAATACCGTAACCCCACAGTGAATTTGCCGAAAACCCACCTAAACCCGAAATCCCGAGCTTTGTTCATGAAACCCTTCTTAGCTGTAGGGTTCTGGATGTCGCAAACTCGAGGTGAAAACGGATGACTGAAGTATTCTGGGCTCGCTGCGGACCAGGAGCGCCTCAGGTAAAACCACAGGTGTTAGAGAATGCCCTAACTCTAAATGGGGGTTTCCGAAAAATAGGGTTACCTTATAATACGAATCCTACCATTGAGGGAACTACCTTAACCGACCAAACCCTACTTTTTTAGGGTCCCTATAAGCTCCATATGAGGGTTCAGAATAAGAAGCTACCAAAAAGTAGGGTTTGGGAGGCTAAGGTCTGCTAGGGTTTCGGCTTAGGGGTCTGGGTTGGGGGGTTTAGGTGTGCAGGGTTTAGGGTGCAAGATTAAGGCACTTTGGGGCAGGTTTGGGATTTATGTCTTAGGATTTCCGGTTCGGGAGTTCTACAACGGCATGCGTGTTGCGGTTTTGGTATTGGGCTTAAAAACTTAATGCAGGTTCCCGATCAATAAATCCATTTTCTTTGAGGGCCTTTATGCACATGATGGTCCTCACTCAGGGACGCGGGTTCCTTGATCAGGGGCCTACATTATAGGGTGTAAGCTTGGGTTCAGGGTTTACTGCAGCGAGTTTACAGAACCTTGTCGGTGCATGAAACCAGAAAACACAGGGACATAACACAAAAGGACAGGTGTGTTGCATAATTACAAGGTATGGTGGTGTGTTTTGAGCATCGGGTGGAGGATCCCGAACCCTGAACGCTAGATTCTCTAGATCCTGTAATTGAGCCCTTAGAGGGATGCCCTAAACCCTACAGCCTCAACCCATAAGCCTAAACCCATAACCCTAAACCCTAAACCCATAACCCTAAACCCTACACCCTAATCCCCTTTTGAGGGTCCTTGGAAAGGTGGGTTCTAAGCCTCGCAGCTTCGGTTCCAGGATTTAGGATTGATCGGGCCTCGGGATTGCAGCTTGGGCTTCAGGAACTGGGAGTTCGTGGCTTAGGAATGAGGGTTCAGGGTTTATAAGGTTCAGGGTTCAGGGTTTAGGGTCAGGGGCTTAGAATTTAGGGTTAAAGGTTAAGGCTTGAGGGTTTAGGGTTTAGGGTTCAGGGTTTAGGGCATAGGGTTTAGGGTTTAGGGTTGAGGGTGGAGTTAGTGGCTTAGGGCCGTAGGCCTTTTTGTTTTGGGGTTCGGGTTGTAGGGATTAAGATTTCTAACCTCACCCTGGGATCCCTGCACGTAGGAGTGGTCAATGAGGGACACGACCAGGTAGGAGTCTGGGCAACGCCACCGCGCTGGTTTAAAGTTGGAGGCTTGTGGGCTTTAAGGTTGTAGCGTAGACCCTAAACCCTAAACCCTAGACCCCTTTGATACACCCCTCTCTGCCCGAAAAGGGACAATGCTAGGCATCCTAAGATAACGGCCCCCCTGAAAGAAGGGGATGGCTTCAGACTTCCGGATGTCGGTGTAGGGTTGAGAACCTACTTGGAGGGTCGAGGGACTTAGTAAGTAGTTATTATATAGACCTATAAGTACTTTAACAGGGACCCTAATTGCGGCTATGATACTTATAACTCTATAAAATAACTACGTACTAAGTCCCCCGACCCTCCAAGTAAGCCGGACCTAAGCTCTAGCCTGCAGGCTTCAGTCTTTGGAGTTTGGGGTGTAGGGTTGGATCCTGGGCCTCCGCAAGTAGGGTTGTAGGCAAGGTGGCTATAGCTAGGATTGCGTTTAAACCCAAAGTACTTGCTTATAATCTTACTTACTAAGCCTTCTGGCTAGAAGTAAGGATTCTATACTGGGTTCCCTATTTTCTGAAAGTTGCAATTACCGTAGGGAGGAACCCTAAATCTTGCTCGTACTACCTACTACTACTACTACTACTACTACTACTACTACTACTACTACTACTACTACTACTACTACTTCTACTACTACTACTACTACTACTACTACTACTGCTGCTACTGCTACTACTACTACTACTACTACTACTACTACGCTAAAGTTGTAGATTTCAGCAGTGTTGAAGCCAGCCATGCTTTGGCGACGCAGCTCAGGGTTTAGGATTTAGGGCTTGGTGCTTAATTCTATAATCCCCAAAGTAGTTCCTTTTGGGGATTACCTTATAGGATTCTATTGGGGGCCTTAGGGTAATTATAGGGTCTAGGTTAGGATTTAGGGCTTGGTGCTTCATTAGAGGGTCTAGGCTTCAGGGTTTGGGGTTTTGGGGTTTAGGTTTAGGGGTTTAGGGTTCAGGGTTTAGGGTTTAGGGGCTTAGGGTCTAGGTTAGGTATTGCCCCAATACAGTAAGAGTCTATAATAGGGCTACTATTGAGGTCCCAATATATCTGAGTGGGGGCCGTACCCAAGGTCAAGGCTTCAGGGTTTAGGGTTTAGCGGTTTAGGGTCCAGGGTTCTGGGTTTAGTATTCAGGGTCTAGTGTTCAGGGCACACCTGACTCCCCAAATGGGCGGAGGCGCCATCTCAAACTCCTAACAAACAGCATGCGAAGAGTATTGTTAACAGCGGGACGCACGAATCCTTTTTGTACTTGAGCCACGAGGTAGCGTAGGTAAGACATGATGACTAGCATACAAAGAGAATAAAAACACCCCCCGCGCATTGAAGCGCAGCGGAGGAGGCGTATTACTACTCTACGCTACTCTGAGGCAGCACTCGCTTTACGAGGCTAGCAAAAGATCTTGAAATGCAAACTCAAATCACTCCACTAAGCGGGTCAGCAAACCAACCCGTCAGGGCGGTGATGCATGGGCGTGCCGATGCAGAGGCTGGAGAAGATGAACCAGCACGTCAATGCGGTGAGTTGCAGAAAAACGGATCAAAATGCAAGTCGCTGTTGCGTGCGACTCGTGCATCTCCTGACACGGTGCCCTCAAGACGCGGAGCACCTTCCGGTGTCGGATGCAATAGGCTAGTATGCCCTGTACCATGCTCCATTGGAGTCCTGGCGATACTCCTCCCATCCGCGCAGGAACCAGGCGATTTGCTCAACAGGATGTTGAACCAGAACCTCCCGGTCGGTGTAAGCGGGAATGACAAAAGGCACATCAGTGGGCGACAGCTCCTCAAGGTAACGGGCACGGAGGACTCCCCAATACCAAGCATCTGTGCGAGTGCAATTGCGAGGCATTGGTCGGGATGGATCGAATCCGTTCCCGTCTTGGTCAATCCATTCCCTTAGGCGATCAGCTGGGAAGCCTGGGAGAGTGACCGTCAGGTTCTCGAGTTGCTGCTCAAGCCTCATCACACAGGCGCAGGTGACGCAACCTGTCGTTCGCGGCCTCTTGAAAGTCTCGGCCACCACCATAGTCATGGCGGCGCGGTGAGCGAGTGCGAGCACGCCCTCCGGCGGCTGAGGCAGATGGTTCATCAGTGGGTGACCCCGCAGGGGCGGCAATTGGTGCAGGTGCATCACCTACAGCAAAACCTCTAACCTCGCCACGACCGGCAAAATAATCGTCCCACTCATCAGCAGTGATGTATTCCTCAGGTGCACGAACGGCGTCAGCCTTCGGAACAGCTTTTGCAGCTGGTGGGTGCGGCGGCTGCACTGGCCTGTTAGCACTGGGCTTAGGAGGAGGCGGCGTAATGCTTCGGGCAGATGCCGGCCTTGCCTTCGTCTTTGCAGCTTTCGGAACAGAAGTGCTCGCTGGACGATCCGTAGATGACGAAGCTGCACCGCCAGGTGAGCGACCTCGGCTCGGAGGAGCCGGTGGAGGCCGAACACTGGGTGTTGCTGCGGGCAGCGACGAGTCAGGACCAGTCCTTCCAAATGGTGACGGCGGCGGAGGCGGCACACGCATGGCGCCAATGGGAGTGGCACCATGTCGGACCATTCGGTCTTCCACCTCGCGATTAATCCAGCCGCGGGTACGCTCAACACTGAACCGCGTACCGCCAAGAAGCTCGAGCATCTGTGACCTGCCCATTGTCCCCAGGGATGCTGGGATTTGCAACGGAGTCTGTCCGATTCCAACCTGCACAGTCACCCTTTGCTGATTGCGCTCTTTCTGGGTGAGAGCATACTGTGCGTTGTTGCGGAGCATACCGACTAGGTCGGCCATGATCTCTGGAACAGTACCGGTCACGGTCTGGTACTCGACGCCGTCATGGCGGAGGATGGTAAAAGGACGCACACGGCGTACCTCAGAGGCAATCTGAGTGGCTCGGATCAACACTGCAATCTCGGGGACCAGGTAAAAACGATCCTGGAAACAAAAGTAGCAGTGGCTGGCCAGCTCAAGAAAAATGTTCCTCTGATAGTTGTACTCCCCGCGAATCACATCGTCGACAGGAGGGAAAATGAGGGCAGTGCGTGCATCGGATGTGTGAGATCCTGCAAAGCCTCTCTTTGCCTCCGTCCCCATTCCTGGGGCGGGAAGTCGCAAGCGCGAGAACATCTCGATCTCGTCGAGTGAAGTCACCGTCATCCCCTTGGAAAACACATTGAATGCGCTGAAGGGTTCGTACTTCAAGTTCTGGCGCAAGGAGCCATGCGCTCCCTCTGCCGCTTTCGCCACCATTTTCTTGCACTTTTCCTTAAGTGTCGCGGCGATGCTCTTCTTCACATCGGCACCCTGACGTGTGTGCTCGTGTGGGCGCGTGTTGATGGCGGCCTTCGGTGCCAAATAGTGGAGGCTGTGATTAGCTCCACCTTGCACGGCTTCCGCCCGCAGATCAGCCAGCTCCGCAATGTGGGAGATGTCGCTCGGGTTGAACAACTTCCGCTGGCAGCGGGGGCAATGAAGATAGCCGTCCAGCATCTGAGACCTGCACCTATCATCAGGGCAACGCAGCTTTGGGAAGCTGACGTTGAGGCACACTGAGTAGTGCTTGCGCTCCACACGCGACGGGCGCTCGGTGGTCAGCCCGATTGGCGAAAAGTAGACCTGGGCATCCAAGGTCCATTCGCACGGAGTTCCCTCCAGCGGACTACCCTGCTCAAAGCAGATGGTACGACCATCGACATGAAACTGCTCAACCTCACGCAAGTGCGAGGGCTTCTCCATGTCCATGAACATACCCAAGAACTCAACCCAGTCCAAATTTTCATTGTGGATCGGGTAACAGAGATCAACGTAATCCATGATGCAATTAGCGTCAGCTTCCGCTGCGCGTTCGATGAGGTCGTTGAAGACCGGCAGGATCTCCTGACGCTTGACATATGCATCACGGGCTTTGGACACCCGAGCTCGCGTGAGCTCGTACGAGCGGTTAAACCATACAGGTTTCCCGGTTCTGCGATCGTAAGCAAACATAAGGTAGCGATTGGACAACCAATCTGGGGTCTGCAGAACATTGTTCTTTGTCAGGAGAATGCGACACCCTTCCAGGCACGCGAGTTGGAGGTCGATAGCGAATTCAACCTCAGCGCCAGGCCGCAGGCCGGCGTTGTTCGGCCTTTCCCACTGAGGGAGGCAAGCCATCATGGTGAAGGCTCTCCCCGTGCTTCCGCCGAGGGTGACACCGCCTGGGATGAGACCGGTGCTAACAATATTGGAAAAATTGCTCCAATACGTTGCATGGTACCCGATCGGATGCATTCTGACCCAGTCGTTGTGGATGTGGCCAGTGACTCCTACAGGAGGACGCGTGTGCATGGTGGGCCGGTAGCCGTCACACAAAGCATAGCTGTCACTGTGCATATCCACAAGATCAGTCTCGTCAGAGATGAGATCGCGGCAGTGCCCCTGGAATGCACGGATTCCATGGATCTCAGTGTGGTCGACGAAGTGGAGGACGCGCAACTCAAAGCGTCCACTGTCATCTTTGTCGCGGTTACCATACTTCACGACTTCCATGACGTCTTCCGACCGGAGACCGCGCCACTGTTTGCCCAATTGCTCTTTGAAGTGATCCCATTCGACCTCCCGCGTTGCGGGGTCGAAGGTCATCATGGGCGGTGGCCGCCGTTGTGCCTGTGACTCTGCACTATTCGCGAAGCCACGAAGGAAAAAGCTCATGGCATTGCTCAATGCTCGCCGCTTGCCATCCGTCACGTAGCGATGGCTTGGGGCAAAATCGGGGATGTCCTCATAGCCCCACCATTCGAAGAATGGCTCGAAATCACCAGCAGCGTCTTCCGACGGCTGAGCGGTGTCGTCAGGATCCAGGTCCATCACGACATCCTCTTCATCGTCAGTCTCGGCTGGCTCCGAGATTCTCCTGTGCTTGGCAGGATCGGGCTTCGACTTGGGCGTCGACCCGATTCGGCGAAGTGCCTGCGAGTACCCGACTGTGCCTTTGGGAA